CAATCCCTTCACCTGCTCCAGCACCACCCCACTTTTGCTGATCAAGTACACATTTCATCTTCAAAATAAAAATTTATTTAATCTGTAACAAGAACATTGAATCTGCACATTTGCGCACAAGTTCACATTTAAAAACAGCAGAGCACATCAGTAATAAAAAAAATCTATAATACAAGTGGAACATCCCAACCACCAGGAAGATTAAGGAAGGAGATGAGACCACTCTATATTCTGCTTCAAATGCCTCAGAAAGGTCCCAGAGATTCCAGGGAGCACCTGCTTTATTTAATAAAACGTGAGCATAAAAGTTTGGACTGGCCTGGGGCAAAGGTAACAGTCAGTGGGAGAGTCTTTTGGACTTATTTCCTACATTTAAAACAAGTCCTACCAAATAAAGTACAAAGAAAGAAAAAAAAGGCACCTCAAGCTATGCCAGGCAAACCAAAATCCAATAAAACATAAAAACCAAACAATTCCCTGTGGGCCTGTTGATTGAGAATCATTTCAGGGCCAGTTACCCAGTTTCCAGATTGGGTCATCAGCTTGAAGTAAGCCCTGGGTATTAGCTCTGCATGTGTAGAGGACACTGCCACCAGTGTCGCTGTGAGGACACAGATGGCAGCACTAGTCATATACCCTCTGAGGCATCTTGAAGCCAATGAGGGATGATTCCAGTTTAGAAATCCTGTCCTAGATCTCTGGGGCACTGAGAAAGTGAGGCTGGTTTTCTTTTCATAGCAGGAGCCAGGCCCGGTCACCCTCCACTTCCAGGCTGGAAAAGTACAGAAGCACCTTGCAATAGCTCTCCATGGCATCAAGGAACCCCAAAGCCCTGGGACAGGGTTAGGAGTGTGCAGCTTCCTGCTCTGGTGGCAGGCTTTTCCTAATGTGGGTGTTAGAGGAGTTGAGGCAGCAAATACATTTATGCCTAATACATGCCTTGACCTTTTAGTCTGGAAGGGAAAACAAGGTCCAAGATACTTTCAAGTTGGACTGGTGCTGAAAGAGCTACAATTTCACCTACCATCAAAAAAAAAAAAAAAAAAAAAAAAAAAAAAAGGCAAAACAAAACTGGACAAAAATGACACTAGCCATTCACTGTTATAACCATCACTGTAAGACACACCATCACTGACTGAGGAAATGACGATTTCCATACAGAGTGTTAAACAGGAGTGTGGGACACAGATGGAAAAATTAGCTCCAGGTCCTCCCCATGTACCAACCAGTGGGCTGACCACTCTGGCCTTGCTTTGTGTGAGGACTCACAGGACAGCCAGGGCTGGGTGCCTGGAGGAGGATACTGAGTGGCTATCAAGATGATGCATGTTTTAATTATCACAATGTAAACAAAGTATCCACAAATAGTTGTCAAAAAGAGCCAAAGAATGGCTTTATTTAAAAAATTTTTCAATGCCCTTAAAAGTGACCCTCTTTGCATAATGCTTTCTTAAAAGAAAACAACTCCCACAAAAACATCTTTACCAAACATGCTTAGATCACTTTAAACTGAAATCCTCAGATGGAACGGGTGAAGATTTCTGTGAGCTGCTGTCTCAGAAACTTCAGGTCTATCCAAAAGTAACTGTCTGGGGCCTTTCAGCAGGAGGGGACCTCAGAGCCTGGGCTGTCTTCCTCAGGCTGTCCTTGGAGTGCTTGGTAGTTCCCCAAATGAGAAAGAATTGGGATAAAGGTATAGAATCAGGAAAATGATAAAGAGCCTGAAGAGCCCGGGATGCTAAGAATGATCCCGAACATTAAGAATCTGAAAGGCAACCAAAATGAGGAGATGATGATTACTCCACTACAGTACTATAGTTCTACTATAGTATATACCACTCCTAAGTGTTTCTAAAATCCAGAACGGGTTGGGGTTTCTCTCCTTCCTACTGACCAGGTAACCCTCCAGATTACAGCTCTAAAGTGTGCTCCTGGGGCTTTTACCCCCTGCACCAAAATGTTATTTTATATTTGCACGTGTGCACACACATACACACTTACTCTCTCCTCCAGAGTAACTTGAGAGCCAGACTATGGTGGCTTTCAAAATAAAGAGAGCAAGAGGTCAAGATTTTTCCTACTCCTGTCCATCTACCAGACCTGCTGTTCCAGGTCTGAGTTTTCCATGAACGGAAAAGAGAAATAGGCCACCCAAGACTATCAGAAAGTTTGAAGACAAGAAAGTCCGAGAAGTCCTTGAGAGCGCTCATCATGTACTTCCCCTGGACCTCGCTCAGCTATGCAAATAACACAAGAACACTCAGTTGTGGGAGTTTTGAGAGGGCTGGCAAAACCCCATGGCAAGGTTGAATTACAGGCCCTGTGTAGAAGATGTTTATTTAAGCAGGTAAATTAAGTGATTAAAAAAAAAAAAAAAAAAAAGGAAGGCAGAGCAAGACTATTTCCTTTTCCTTTTCTAAAAAGACATCTTCACAGCATTAGAGGATCTCTTCCCCATCTTTGTTCTTACTTAATGCAGGGATAGGGAGCGTTCAACACGACTGCAGGGGAGTAGAGAGAACAGTGCAATACTGTTGATCTTGCTTGTACTTAATGTGAGGGATGTCACCATTTCAAAGGGCTAATGAGGGGGCACCACTCTCTTCACCTCTCACCCCACCACAACTTTCTGTCTTTTCTCCATCAATAATGGCGGTGGTGGAAGTGCCTCAACAAGACAGGGCCGTTTAGATGGATGAACCCTGGAAATTCATAACCCTGTCTTGCAAGCCTCCTCACACTGGTACATACCACCTAAAAAAACACTTCATAACATATTAAATATCCAGGAACCACAAAGCCATGTGGATGATACATGTGAACATGTAAGGAAACTATTTAGGGACAGCACAGGTACACAAAATTACTACATCATAAAGACACTAGAGCGGGAGGCTTCTGTCCAATCCACCTCCTGGCAGCAATGTCAGACCCAACCATGGCTTCCACACAGCGACTGGATTCACAGCTCCCCTGGAGCATCTGTGAATGGCCTCAGTCCACCTCTCTGTAGCAGGTCACCCTGCTACCTGCCCCCACCAAACTCCAGCCTCTGACATTCCCTTGACAGTCTAGGTATCCACCTTTTCCTCTCAGTGCTGTGATGAACCAAAAAACCAAAACTCAACTCTGTACTTGGTCAATCTCTCAGCAAGGTGGACATCAACCAGAGCCAACAGAAGCAAATGTGCAAACCTCTTCAGTTCTGATGAGCTGCAGAGGGTGTTTCATTCCAGGCTAAATGCTTCTTGCAAGCAGCTGAAATAAGCTTGTTTATGGCAAGTGCTCCTGTGTTAAGGATCTCCACAATAGCAGCAAAGCAACAGCATCCTAAATGGAGTCATAATGGGTGCCTGCCCCTGGTGGGGGGGGGGGGCCTCCCCACAACCTTTCAGCCCAATCCACATGAGAAGCTTCCACCCTGGGCCAGCAGTAACACTCACAGACTCCTTGGCTGTGGTTCAGCTACTAGCAAACAACCTACCCTGGGATTTCAGTCTCAAAGAGAAATCAGACTTCAGTCAAACTGTGATCTAATGGGAGCCTTTAGGGGTTTCTCTGAGGAGGAAGATACTAACACATAATTTGGCAGGAGCTGGCGATTAGAAGTCTCCATTTAAACAATTAAAACCACCATCAACATATTCTGCAGATTCCTACCAACACCCATCAGTTTTATTTCTGTGCTGTGTGTTTTCTCCAGTTGCAGCTTTACTTCTTCTTAAAAAGAATAAATCAAAAAGATCTTACGACATCAACAACAAAACACTGTAAGAAAGTGACAACATTATGTACATAAATACTGTGTATAAGCTAGAGAAATGACAAATCTTCAGGAAAATAAAAAAAACAACAACCCATGTCAAGTGTTAACAGTGATAACATTGGTAAGAAAACTTTGCATTCAATGGAGGTTATACATAGGTAATGTAACAATTCAAATATCATCTATGAAAAAAAAAAGGCAGCACTGAAGAAACAGCATGAAGGAGGAAAGTAAACTGGAAAAAAATATGGCCATTAAACTCAGAAGGCCCACAGAATTATTCAAGTAATGGAAGTGTTAAAACCCTATGTAATGTATTCATTTTACAAGAACACACTGACTTTCAATTGCTGTTTTTCAAACCTGTCCCTATTACGTTTTGGTTGAAAGGATCTTGCATTTCCTGGCAGGGAGGGCCAGGATGACCACCTACGTGGAGCCCACTGATCCAGCCTCTCCAGACTGCGCCTCCTCCTTCTCCTATGCGTTCCTCTACACAGGACCCCTCGGGTTTCATTTGGGGTTCACTTTGAATTTAAAAATTATGTGTTTGGGGGGAAAAACCCTATTTGCTTGCTAAGTTTACGAAGCCAGCCACTATTGTGCCTTTCTGTGATGATATACTCTGGAATACCAGAAGAAGTGGATTCTGGAAGACCCCTTCGAAAGCACAGCGGAATTTGCCAACTTGGGGAATTCCTGGTGGGCGGGGGCCCAAGGCTCAGAGACTTGTGGCTGCCCTTCGGCCCAATCTCAGGCTTTGGGTCTGAAGACCAAACCATCATCACACAGGCCCAGGGGAAGAGGAGCATTTCCAATTCCCAGCTTCCTCCCCACCCTCCCCATCTGCTTCCTTCTGCAAGCAAGCAAGCAAGCAAGCAAGCAAGCAAGCAAGCAAGCAAGAGTGCTTTTTCTCAGAGGGCAAAAATGAGGAGCCGATGGGAGCTGATTGAAAAACAGCAATTTGCCTTTGATAACGGTGCTCTTTGAAAATGAGTATTTTTTGAGGTTTGATTTTTCGAAAAATAAAAAAAATGATAAAATGGTCTTGCTGTCCAAATCAATCTCTCACGCACACATACACAGAGAAAAAAACCCTAACCCTGCATGCGCCAGGAACAGTAAAATGACCAAAATATTATAAAATTAACCAATAAAGTGCATGTTCTTTACATATTACACCTGCCCCTTTTACAAACATTTCTTTTAGAAAGTCACATGTGTAGGCTCAGAATCACATGGTATTATAGAAGGGGTTGGTTGTCCGTTTTTTATCATTTGCTTTTTTCAGTCTCCTAAGGGGGTGAGTTCTGCCGTGCTGCTGACGGGGCGCCACAGCCAGCCCGGGAGCCGGGCCTGCACGCTGAAGTCCCTGGGGTTGTAGCAAAGGAAGGCCTCCTTCAGAACTAGTCAATTTGGGTTCTGCCCTGGGGAGCAAACACTGCTGACCGTAACCAAATTCTTTGGCATACTGTACGATAGGCTTCTCCACTGGCTTGCTCTGAGCGATACACTCTGTAGTTTTGAGTTGCTCTATAAAATACTTGGTGGGCTCTAGGTTCTGGGAGGCATCTGGGTTTTCTGAGGACTCCTGGGCCTCCATGGCATGCATGCCTGAGTCTGTTCTGATGAAGGGCTGAAGCAGTTTGAGATGAGAGGGCTCAGAGGAGACAGGCTCTCTATCTGATAAACAGTCTTTACAGAGGTCCAAGTAACCTAACTTGGCAAGGGAAGCTGAATGCCGCATTTGGGCTGTTTTGGTGAGTCCTGCCTGGCAGATCGCTCGGGACTCGATATCTTTAGTGCGCTCTTTCACCACACTGAGGCTATGGCTGACACTCTTCATACTGTCACTACTAGAGCTATGTGGGGGTTGACAGGCTGCAGGTAATGGGTCCAGTTTTTCTTGTAACTCCCCAATATTATCACCAAGTTTGCTTAGGTCTTCACTCCTTAACAGAGAGCCCTCATACGGCACTTCACTGCCACTGGAGAGTGCACCGTCCAGACCTTCTTCCCAGTCGCCCTGCTCCAAAGAGGGCTCGTTGTCTGTGGTGCTGCTTTGCTCTGTGAAGCCTTCCAGGTGAACTACGGTCCGGGAATGTGCGTAATCCAAGCTGGCAGACGGTACATGGGTTGTGTGACTGACAAAAGGTGTTCCTGTCTCCAGTGCCACTGACAGGCTGTTGTCCCAGTCTTCAGGGCTGCTCAGGGTAGAGGTCAGGTTGGTGGGACTGTCGTGCTCAGGAGAGGAAGAATGAGGCAGAGGTAGCAGTGTGGGGTGTAGAGCAGGCTGGTCGGGGCCCAGAGTCCTGTTCAGATTTTCATCCAGTGTACAGAGGACGGTGATGGAATTCTCCCTTTTCACGCTCCTCAGTCCTTGCTCCCCACTCTTTTCGCTGGTGGCTCTTTCACCCCCTTGCTCAGTGTGACTGGGTGACATAATGATTTCGATCTTCTTGGGAAGGGAAAGAGGGACCGACTGTGTCTCAGATCCCTGGCATGAAACCACAGTCCTCGGATCCTTCAGGACTCCTTCCAGCTTTGTTCTAATATCTGACCCTGGGTACTCTTGAAACTCCAGCGGCTCAGGTGCTGGAACAATGGCATTTTGCTCGGAATGGGGCAGCAGGCCAGCCTCAGACCCACTGCATTTCCCTTTGCCCTTGTTAGTCTCTGGTTCCTTGGGGACAAAAGAATGTTCTAGGGTAGCTTCATCACTCTTCCCTTTTGGTGCTAGGTCTGCCACAGAAGACTCATTCTTGGAATTCTTGCGGATGGACAATGAGGTACAACCAGGGGCAGCACCATGGTGCTCTTGCTCCTGTCGCAAGCGTTCTTCAAACTCCAAGGTGGCTCGCCTCACAGACCCAGGGCACCACTTGGCACCCGGGTGCATCCCTGGGCCCCAGAGTTCTTGTTCCTCCTCAGCTGGTTCTTCTTCTTCCAACTCTGTGGTGAATGAGTGTGTAGTCAGGCAGCCTTCTAGGTCCCACTTCCCTGAGTCTTTGGCTAGTTCAGGCTGGGCTGTGTAGGAACCTTCATTCTGCTCCAGATTTCCAGGTTTGTTCTCCAGGGCCTGGGCCCTCTCCAGGGGCAGCTCATGGATGGTGTGCTTCTTTGGTGTATGGCATGGGTTGGACAGGATGTCTCCTTTCAGTTGAATCTGTCCAACTCCTTGACTGATGGATTCGATCTCAGTGACGATTTCTTTGACTGAAATTGCATTTTCTGAGTGAGATTGCATGAAGATATCTGGGCTGACCAGCTCTGAGATTGCCTAGGGAGAAACAGTGAGATGGTTATGGCAAAGTGCAGTCTAATTAAAAATGCCAGATGTTGTGCTTATTAATCTTCTAATCCAGGAGAACCTTCTGGCTATGAGGACACAAATCACAGAGTGCCTGGGACTGTCCTCTGGCCATCTGTTTTGTCATACAAGAAAAAAAACAGACTCATTAAAGGCAGAGATACAAAATTAGTTACAGGTTGAATCACTGCCTACTAAACTTTTGTTCTGTTTACTCAAACAGAATTCTGACCCAATATCTTGTTCCAAAAATGAACAGCAGATAGCCTTGGAGGTTCCTATAATCCTTACTTTCCTAAGATTATTAGCGTTCAGGATTTAGGCCATATTGGGGTAGATGAGATTTTTCTTTTCTGGCCTATCAACTTCCAGTTGGATTCTTTTTTTTTTTAAATGTTTGTTTGTTTGTTTATTTATTTATTTATTTATTTAGAGAGCGCGAGCTAGCGAGTGCGGGGGAGGGCACAGAGGAAGACACAGAATCTGAAGCAGGCTCCAGGCTCTGAGCTGTCAGCACAGAGCCCAACACGGGGCTTGAACTCATGCACCATGAGATCATGACCTAAGCTGAAGTCAGACACTTAACCGACTGACCCACCCAGGCGCCCCTCAACTTCCACTTTGATTCTAACCTTATTTAAGAAAAGGAGTTCCATTCAAGGGTTCAGTGGCCACCTTCAACATGCCCAGTGATAGGGCGAGATGGATGAGGTTATCATCTAATGCCTGATTTGGAGACTCACTGCTCCCTTCTCTCCTCTGTCCTGCCAGCTTTCCTCCTGATCCTCCCGCTGCACCTCCTGGCAGTAGCATTCCAGCACATGAGGGCACTCTGCACCTGATCACACAATTTCCAAGTTTGACATGGCTCCTTCTGGGAAAGGTTTACTTGGCTTATGCAGCCATATGCCTGAGCAACTTAGAAACTGTGACTCTCTGACATTTTACTGTTCTACCAGTTACAATTCCTAGATGGATTTAGAACAAGGCAAAAGAAAACTGGCCAATACAAAATCAAGTCCTATGGGTGGGGGGGGGAAGATAAGGATTTCAAAATCTGGAAATGGCCATTGGACATCTCTTTTTTTTTTTTTTTCCAACGTTTATTTATTTTTGGGACAGAGAGAGACAGAGCATGAACGGGGGAGGGGCAGAGAGAGAGGGAGACACAGAATCGGAAACAGGCTCCAGGCTCTGAGCCATCAGCCCAGAGCCCGATGCGGGGCTCGAACCCACGGACCGCGAGATCGTGACCTGGCTGAAGTCAGACGCTTAACCGACTGCGCCACCCAGGCGCCCCATGGACATCTCTTAAAGTGGCATCATGATAGCCATCAATCTGCTTTGTTAACATTTTTATAAGCCTTCAACATATAATATTTCCATAGGAATTGTTTTGGTCTTTCTCCTTCAAGAGAAAGTCAGAACTAGTACAAACTAACAAGGTCAGTTATGCCTTTGGGAGAAATCTCCTGGGACATTAGGCAGAGGTAAACTAGCCAAGACTGGGAGAGAAGCCACAGTGAGCCCAGTGTGTGCATGGGCTGTGGAGAGTGCTCATATGACTAGGGACTTTGCAGAAAAGCTATTTCTGTCAGAGCTGCTACACCCACTGGTCCAAAGGAGAGCTCAAGCATTCTGATTTTCCAGTAGAGAGAAGACAGCAGCAGAGGCAATGAATGTCCTGGGATAGCTGAGATAGAGAAAAGATAAGTAATGGACAAGGTGGTAAATATAAGTAGATAGATATCAGGAGATATCAAAATGTAGTCACTCCCACTGAAACCATTAAGTGAAATTTGGCAGGTGAGAGTAAATCTGTCATCATTTACTTCCCAACTACTGTATTATATTGATCTAAGATACCATTATTGTTTTTAAGATGCATCCCAATTTCAGAAGTGTCAAAATGAGAATAAGTGTGAGTCTTAGCATTGATGATACACAGTAATTCTTTCCCTGGGCTCCTAAGAGTTCATATGCTACAGAGAAGAATCCAGGGATTCTGTCTGCTCTCAATCATTTCCTCAAACCATCCCCCAAGTCTTGGATACTACAGGGTCTGAGATGAGGAACAATCCAGAAACATTATTAATAGCATCATCATCAAGAACTCAGCATTGGTTCCTACTCTAACAACTATTCACACATATCTAGTCTTTGCATTTTCTGAGACAGAAAGAATTTCCCAAACAAATCCATCTCCACAAAAAGGCCTTACTCATTATCCCAGACACTTCATTATTGGCAAGATCTGGTCTGAACTGCAGAGGATCAGGGAAGGGACCTCTCCTTGTGCAGGCAGGACATTCATTTTGACTAATCCCTTCTTCCCACATCCCCTCTCAGAAGTGCTTCTAAAAACACCAAAAATCTGGAAAGATAAGTTTCTCAAAAGGCAATGGATTAAAAAAAAATTTTAATCCTAAGTTTTTAAGGCAAGTCTCGGCTATAGAGTCTCTCCCGTACTGCCTTCCTAAATCTTTAGCAACATCAAAAACACAACGAACAGAGCAGACTCTCAACTATTTTATCTTCAAAGAGAACTTCATTAGGTAGAAAACTATAAAGACAGTTTTTACCTTTGACTGTTCCTCATCTATTGAAGATTCTTCAGATGCATGGGGAGTATTACTCAAAGAGCTGCTTCTCTGGTCGTCAGCTGTCACTTCAGAAGGGGTTACTTCTACCACTGAGAGTCGACAGGTCTCACCCCTTCCTCCACCCAGTTCTTCCATCCTTGAGTGAGAAAAAGATCGAGACCGGGTTTCTTGGGAAAGCTCTACAAACTTCTCTAGGGCGCTAAAAAAATCAATGCGATCTGTACTGAAATCTGAGACTTCAGCCTGGCAAGTGGGTTGGGGGCTCGGTGATTCAGGATCAGGGGACATGGGAAGGTCTTTCAGGCGAGATGTCAATTCTTCCAGAGGCAGTAAGTGGACGTTCACATCTGTTTTCAGCGCATCTGTCTCCAGATCTTCCACTGTTAAGTCTGGGAACTTGTTGGCAATTTCTGGGGCCTGTCCAGGTTGGATTAAGGCTTTGGATGCATGGCAGTTGTCAAGAGGGAATTTTGATTCATTGAGACAACACCCTGATGAGCATCCATTGATGTCATTTAGGTTTAATTCATCTTCAATCTGTCCGGCATGAAATTCCCTAGAAGTAAACTCCAAGCAGATCATTCTTTCTTTGGTACACAGGCCCTTCTGATTTTCATCTTGTGGGACAACATGTTCCACAAAGACGGGAGGTATGGGTGGGTGACTCTCCATGGTCTTCACCTCGGCAATCTGGTCTGCTGAGGTGGTGATCTCCTTCTTGTTGAGTTCTAGCCCTGGTTTGCAGATAGGTTCGTGGTGGTCTGAGAGGTCGCTATCTGAATGAGATCTCCAGAGCTTGTTATGTCGCTGTTTGCTGTGGAGGACATACACAGGAAATGCCTCACTCTGGTTTGTGAAATCAACCAACACCCACCCAGGAAATCGCTCCCAGATAATATTAAATCTTAACCTGCAAAATGCTTTGTTAATACCCAGTGGAAGAAGTAGGCAATAAACATTTGTAAAGATGCTCAATTTGGGGCACCTGGGTGATTCAGTTGGTTGAGGATTCGACTCTTGATTTTGGCTCAGGTCATGATCTCATGGTTTGTGAGATCGGGCCCCAAGTCAGGTTTGTGTGTACAGCCCGGAACTTGCTTGGGATTCTGTCTTCCTCTCTGCCCCTCCCTAACTTATATCTGTCTCTCTCAAAATAAATAAATAAAGTTAAAAAAAAGATGCTCTATTTAACTAATAGCAAAATACAAAAACAAAACAAAAATCAATATGATATCTGATTTTTTACCTATCAGACTGACAAGAGCTAAAATGGTTAACAGCTAGTGTTGATGATGGCATAGCCAGACAAGCCCTCTCACATACAGTTGGTAGGAATGGGAACTGTAAAATCTTGAGTACAATCTGACAATAGCTCTCAAAATTTAACCCTTTACCCAGCAATCAATTCTTTTAAGGATTGATTTTTCTTGGAGAAATACAACTATAGGTGCACAAAGATACAAAGATGTTTACTATATAATACTATGGTACTAAAGGATCAGACACGAAAAAGAAAGGATTTATTAAAAAAACTTTTTTTTAATGTTTATTTATTGATTGATAGATTTTTTGAGAGACAGAAAGACAGACAGACACAGAGAGACAGAGTGAGACAGAGTACGAGCAGGGGAGGGGCAGGGAGAGAAAGAGACACAGAATCCGAAGAAGGCTCCGGGCTCCAAGCTGTCAGCACAGAGCCTGACGCAGGTTTCAAACCCATGAACCGTGAGATCATGACCTGAGCTGAAGTTGGATGCCCAACCGACTGAGCCACCCAGGTGCCTCAAAAAAGAGGATTTATTTGAAATACAGTCCATATACCCACATGCTACAGGTACTTTAGTAGAATGTTGTCCAAGATGAGTGAAAGAGCATGCTGACCACATTTGGAATGGTCAGTTCCCAGGTTAATAAGTACAGGAAAATATTTGGAGGTACATCATCAAATTGGTAACAGGGTTTCTTTCAAGGAAGGCAGAATACTTTTGGAGAGGGCTTTACTGTCTTTACTCTGTATTTCTATAAGTTTTAAAATTTAAAAATGAGCATGTTTAACATTAATAACCGGGGAGGGGGAAACTAAAACAAAATAGCACCTAAACAATACAAAGAGAAATATTCTATTGGAGCTCATTCCAAGTTCTCATAATTTGGATAAAGAGCTGATACACAGTTAATCACTGAAGTAGAAATGTGAGGAGGGTGGTAATCTTTCTTGAATTAGAAATCAAAGATGAGGCTAATAAATCCACAAAGGTTGGTAACAGAATGGAAGAGGATATGCATAAAGTATAGGCTTCTTCCATAAGGATCTCTGGATAAAAACCATCAAGCTGAGGTGACACCTGGAAAAGCAGGTGGCCCAAAGGAAGATCACACACACAGATCCATCCTTTAGCTCATTTTACAGAGAGAAGGTCTGATGGGATGAAATTTTAGTTGATACCATATTCTCTAACAAGGGAGCAGTTTCCAAAGCCCTAGCCAAAAAGAAAAAGGTGATGGCCCTGTGGCTGGTCAGAATCACCTGCCCAGGAAACAGGTCCCTTATTTAGGGGTGTGGTTTCCATGACTTACAAGTTGATGAAGAATTACCTAACTGCAGGGTGGAATGGGAAACAGCCCAAAACAATTTACCGCCTGCTCAGGGCCACGCCTGCCTATGAATCTCTGCCAGGTCATGCGCCTGCACTAATGTGAACCCCTGTTTGTTCTCAGCTCTGCACCTGCTCTCAGCTCCCCCTGTCTGGCTGTGGCTTGGGTGGGGCTCTGACTCAGGCCTGCACAGCAGAAGAGTGCTTTTCTGAGTAGGGAACAGGTCATTCTGTTTATGAAGACAAGCTATAATCAATAGCAGGGAGAAAGATAGGGTTTTCACCCTTTCCAAGCTGCATGAACTCTAGCCACCCCTAGGAGGAGACAACATATCACACTTCCCAAACAAGTGAGTGACTGTGGGAGGGGCAAGCTGAATGGTTGGATAGGTGGGGCTTAAATTGTACATTGTGATCAACAGAGGCCAATGTGCTTCCCTTTAAAGTTTCCTTTGTATCTGGACACTCTTGTTTCCTGACCTACATATGGCTCTGTTCTCCAATTTCTATCCCTCACCCATCATGATGATGTTCAAACCTGCACCAAGACCACTCAGCCCCCATGGCAGGACAATTCCTGTGATGCAGATGACTGGGAAGACAAGGAGTAGCTGTTCTCACCTTTCTAAGAACAGCTTATCTTATCAGTCAACAGGCAAATGGGATTTTTCTCATGATCCCAAGAGCCTTCCAAAGTATGATTTTTTTGAAACTGCCTGCAAATCACTAATCAATCAGGAGGGAATGAGACTAAAATTACACTAATAGGTACCAACAGCATATGTTTCAGAGGAAGTGGCTGATGTTACAGTTGCTTTCTTTGCCCAGCAGGGATTTCATTCTCTTCCTGGGGGAGATAATCATCAGAAAATATTAGGTCAGGGCTCTGGAATTAAACTGACACCTTCTTGTAAAGGAGAAAGAAAAATCCCAATCCAAAGATAGGTCTGATTCCACTGCCTTTTTCACTTTTGCAATAGCACCTGCAGGGAGAGTGGTGGGCAGCTCTTTGATACAAACAAGGCACTCATTACCATGGCCTTTGAAGCACTGCTACTCCAGGGCCCCTTCCTGCTCCCCTCCCTCCTCCTCCTCCCACCTCAGAGATTGGTAAACTCTGTCCTGAATTTTGTACTTATCATCTTCTTTCTTTATAGTGTCGACATGTTGTGTTTTTGTAAAAATTTTTTAATGTTCATTTATTTTTGAGGGGGGGGGGGAGAATGAACACCTGAAGTTGGAAGGGGCAGAGAGAGGGAGACACAGAATCTGAAGTAGGTTCCAGGATCTGAGCTGTCAGCACAGAGCCTGATGCGAGGCTTGAACCCACAGAATGGCGAGATCATGACCTGAACTGAAGTCAGACGCTTAACCGCTGAGCCACCCAGGTGCCCCGACAGGTTGTGTTCTTAATACACTGCCTAGTTTTGTATGTTGTAAACTTATATAATGAAACCATACTCTATGTATGGATTCTCCTGTAACTGCTTTTTGCCTACACTGTTTCTAAGATTCATCAGGAGCGCCAGGGTGACTCAGTGGGTTGAGCTCAGCTCAGATCATGATCTTGTGGTTTGTGAGTTAGAGCCCCGAGTCGGGCTCTGTGCGGACAGCTCAGAGGCTGGAGCCTGCTTCAGATTGTGTCTCCCTCTCTCTCTGCCCCTCCCCGGCTCCCACTCAGTCTCTCTGTCTCTAAAAGAAATAAACATTAAAAAAACAAGATTCATCAGTGTGTATAGCTATAATTTCAGCGAGTATGATGAATATGCCACGGTTTATGTATCCATCTGTTGCTGAACAGTTTTGGCTACTACAAGTAGCACTGTCATGGACATTCCTGTACTTGGGGCATACTTTGGTTTCTAAAAGATGCTATATATATGAGAAGAAAAGGTGGGTCATAGGGCATACGTGCATCATCAGTTTTACTCAGTAACACCAAACTGTTTTCCAGTGCTGCTTTTTCCAAGCCAGCTTATTCTGATGCTCCATCAGTGGTAGGATAGATATAAGACATTAGATTGTATTTATTATTTTAAACTGTTAATGTTTAAATTCAGCTGACTCCTTCCATCTATTTCAGGTAGGCACCAAATAAACAAGTTGTCAAAAAGAACTTCAGAGTTGGTTTGTGGCCTGGATGATGCAAAGAAGTCTCAGGTTCTTTTCTCCCCTGAGTGACTGTGGGCCTAAATTTGTATTCACATAAACACACTGACACACACATAAGATGACTGGGTCATTCTGGGCAAGAATTTGGCCTTTTACTTCATAAATGAATAGTAAGGAAATCTAATGACCGGACGCATATGATATCCCATTCTCTTGCCTCTAATTTGCTTTCTTCTTGTCACATGTTTGGTAAAGCACTAACCTACCTTGTTTGAGAAAGGTATATAGAAGAAAATACTGCTAAAAATGGGGTATCGGTTATAGTAAAATCAGAGTGTTTATGGTTACTTTTTAGGGCATGAGGCAGCCTGAAGAAAGGAGGAAGAAGAAAGAGAAAAAACACCAACCGAGCACGTTCTGTGTGGTGTGCATGGTCGTAAATGCTTTAAGATTATTTCACTGAAGGGGCACCTGGGTGGCTCAGTTGGTTAAGCATCTGACTCTTGATTTCAACTCAGGACATGATCTCATGGTTCGTGAGTTTGAGCCCTGCACTGGGCTCTGTGCTGACAGCGCAGAGCCTGCCTGGGACTCTCTCTTTCTCTCTGCATTTCCCGCTTGTGCTCTCTCTCAAAAATAAAACAAAAACCTAAAAGATGATTTCACTAAAAAGCTATTAAGAAAATCCTTTAAATCTCAATTGTGAATTGGGTGCATTTTTGGGTTCCCTTCTGCTGACTGACCACTGTGCACCAGCTAACTAGACTTCAATGTGTCCACCAGCAAAGCTGGGGAGTGTAAAAGACACCTCTGCCTCTTCTGGCCCTGGTGACAGGGGCGTTCAAAGAATCAGAACTGACATCCATGAAGACATGTGGCATGAACTCTCCCTGGCTATAACCCAGTGTTTCTTCTCTGCTCTTTGTACACAGGAACCTAATCTCATAGACACATGGTCCAGCTTGCAAATGACTGAAATCTGAACTTGTCTAACGGAACATAAATCTGCCAGATACCTGCATGATCAGAGTACAGAATAACAAACAGGGATGTTGGCAGTTTAATGGAGGGTTTCGACACACACGTATACACATACACACATGCGCATGCATGCACACACACAGCCTCTTCCTGTCTCACTCTCATCCCCCAGCTATAATAACAGAAAAAATAAAGTTAGATATAAACAGTTACCAGTGGCCTTATGATACCCTCACTTTTAGGTCTAAAGGATTATATTAAATATTAGTCTTCCCTAGGCTCCTAAAGACATACTGAAATATGCAAAAAGTCCCTTGCATTTCAGACAGGTGGTCACTGTTAGGCCCATACCCTCACATCTGATCAAGAGACTATAACCAATTCATAAGTCACTTACCGGGGCCTGGCATCACTTTGGTAAACTTCACTTCTACCAAGACATCAAAGTACTGAGAGCTAACACACCCTCAAACAGAAGGCTGCCACCTCAAGTTAAGTACCCAGTGCCTCCCTAGACAACCATGGGGCTAGAGAATGCTAGGATCAGGGCTCTATCTTTTTGGGAAAACCACCACATACTTCCTGGGAGAAGATGTGGAATACAAGATCAAAGCACCTCCACAGGAAATGGATTTCTTTGCAAACACAATGAATGGAATTTTTCGAAGGACTTTCCTCTTCTGGCTACCTAAGCTGCCAGGTAACTGATAGAGCTTCAGGCAGTTCCAGGAGTCTGGGGCTTTTCTCTCTTTGCTCTTCTAAGCAGGCAGGTCCTAGAGTAGCACTTTACAGCTGGGCAAGAGTCTGCTGGGCCCAATTCACTTGGCAGCTAGTTCAGCAGTAGTCTACAAGTGCTGTTTCTTAACAACACACCAGAGACTGCAGACCCTAATGGCTGTACACCCAGCAGGCACTCCCACTTTTTCCTAACTCGCAGAGGCCTGATTTGGTTTGGGTATTCACTGTTCCATGGGAGCCCCAGCAGGAGACAGTATGGAGGGAGAAGAGTAGGGACAGGCCACTTATTCCCCTAGCTCCCTCCCCACAGGGCCACTTCAGGCTGGTGTGTCCCTTGACTGAAGGTTATTTCTCCTCTCTGAAGGTACCTCTTTTTTCAGGAGTCTCCTTCTAGGTTCTAGTAACTGCTCCCTCCCTCTTTGGGCCTAGCAGCTATTACCAAACAGCTCTGCTGATCCAAGTCCCTTGATTCCACCACAACCCCACACCTCTGTAAAAAGTAGCTTTATAAAAAGCCCTTCTCAAATAATCCTAATCCGAGTATGCGGTTTCTTGTTGAAATCCCAAGTGACGGAGGTATTTCACTACTTGCAGCTAAAAGCAGTTTGTATGATATTCCTAGAACTAAGATTCTAGTTCTTAAAATCCAGGAAATATCACAATATAGGAAATTCCATGACCACTTCCTAATCTAGTTTCTTTTTTTTTTTAATGTTTAATTTTATTTATTTTGGCGGGGGGAGGGGCAGGGAGAGTGGGAGAGAGAATCCAAAGCAGGTTCCTCGCTGCCAGCACAGAGCCTGATGTGGGGCTGGAACCCATGAACCATGAGATCATGACCTGAGCCGAAATCAAGAGCTGGATGCTTAACCAGCTGAGCCACCCAGGCGCCCTCCTATTCTAGTTTCTTTTTTTTTAAAAAATTTTTTTTTTTTTTCAACGTTTATTTTTGGGACAGAGAGAGACAGAGCATGAACGGGGGAGGGGCAGAGAGAGAGGGAGACACAGAGTCGGAAACAGGCTCCAGGCTCCGAGCCATCAGCCCAGAGCCCGATGCGGGGCTCGAACTCACGGACCGCGAGATCGTGACCTGGCTGAAGTCGGACGCTTAACCGACTGCGCCACCCAGGCGCCCCTCCTATTCTAGTTTCTAATGGACTTACTGTGTCTGTGGGTGGTAGAAGGAGGATGAAATAAATGGCACATGTATATGTCTGTTTTCTGGGAGCCTTGGAGAAAGGAGATGATGGGAATCCCATCAGAATAACCCTTACCAGCATAGAGTATACATTTATACATGTTTTTATTTACAAAAACCTTGTGAGATAGGGTTCTTGATTTTCATTTTGTAGATGGGGTCAGGTGAGGATCACGACTGTGAAGTAACTTCTCAAAGTTCCAGCAAGGGGATGAACCAGAGATGGAAACCAGATCTACTGACTCAGATTCTGTGGTTTTCTCATTCCTCAGGGCTTGCCTCTCCCTCCATGAATCAAGCCCAGAAAGGCAGGATGGAAGAGAAATGGAAAGGAAGAGGCAGTTGTGATTTGTGGATTTATGCTGCCCTTCTTATCCTCATCTAAGATTTTTCTGAAGTTCCTTTAACATCTAAGAAAAACCACATATGCTAAAAAAACCCAACCCAACAGCTTGCAGTAGCCTGGGATTCCAGAATAAATACTGAAATTGGCAGGACACATAGTATCCTTGCTCTTGATGGGTCACGTGAGGACACTGCCTAACATCCGTCATGTGTGTGTCTGGGAACATACAATATTTATGTCTCATCCAGCACTCAGATGCCTCCTTCTTGTGCCAAAAAGAACTGCTGTGTCCTACCTTCTGATCTAATCTAAAAATGTCATCAAAATCTGGCCCCAAAGACCTATAAATTCTTTTTAAGTGGAGGAGACTTGAGTATCCTCCCAGCCTCCTCAAAGAATGGCTCAGATGAAATCATGCCAAGTACTGAGTAAACGGGAGGGGTTTTTTAGTGGAAACCATAATGCTACGCTGTGGCTGCATTTTCACAATACTTCGGGGGTGGGAGGGTGGTCCCTCTGCCTGGATAGGCTGGAAGGCTATTTAACATTTTGTTCAGGGGAAACACAGCCCAGATTCAACAGTCAAGACCAAGTCATGAGACTCACTAGAGGCAAACTCTGGCACCAGCCCCAACTGCTTCTAGGCAGCTGTGCCTTCATTTGAACAAAACCACCTAGAACATGCCCACATGGAAAAAACAAAGCAAAATCTAGCACTGCACAGAACTTTAGCATGTGGCATCTCAGGAAACTGATGCTTAAATCCAGTTTAATACATGAATCTTTTTCTCTGAAAGCAGTGAAGATGGTATCACTTAGATGTGTAATCTAAAAAAGCCAAACAGAGAAAGAGAGAAGAGAGTGGTGGTATATTAGGGGGTAGAGGATGGGGGAAATGGGGTGATGCTGGTCAAAGGGTACAAACTTCCAGTTATAAGAGTAACAAATTCTGGGGATCTAATGTACAGCCTGGAGATTATAGCTCATAACACTGTATCATATACTCCAGCGTTGCTAAGAGAGATCCTAAATATTTTCACCACACACAAAAAATGGTAATTATGTTAAAGGGATGGAGATGTTAGCTAATGGTACGGTGATAATCAGTTTGCAATATATAAGTGTATCAAATCAACACAGTGGACACCTTAAACTTACACAATGTTATAGGTCAATTCCATCTCAATAAAGCTAGGGTAGGGGTTAAATGATGGCTAAGCAGTATAACTGTTGAGTATGTGTTGCTATAGTTAAAAAAAAAAAAAAAGAAAAAAAAGAAAAAAAAGACCGGTTATTAGGTGAAGAGGTAGACTGAAGAATAGCTTTTGTGAGAAAATATCCATCAATATATGTGGTAAGACTTGGAGAACACGTAAGATAATGTTGATTGCTGTATGTGGATATTGAATTTATAAATGATTTTTCTCTTTGTATTGTCTGCATTTTTGCAAAGCATATATATAAAAGCAGAGGGAAAGATTTTTAAAAAGAAAACAAGAGAGCTATTTCCGGGAAGTGCCTTCATACCCCAAATCTGATTTGTCACGTGACCAAAATTTTGAAGACGACTCACTGAAACCAAGCACTGAAAAAAATAATGCCAAAAATTTCTAAGAATTTCATCTATGCTTAGCATTTCTTTGGGAGCAAGAAGTACCCATTTTGATAAGGTAGCTGTATCTGGCCTTAGATGATGTTGAGAAATGTTTATGATAATCAGCACCTAGTTGAGAACTAAAGTAAGAGAACAGTATTTCCACCTTTCAGTTTAAAAGTCTTTAAACACTCAATCTTCCATACTAATCTTAAATGCTTGTACTTATTTTTTAAAAACTAGATTGAGAGAAGTTTCAATTTTCAAAATGTATCACATATCCAAATTAGGTTGAAAACTAGCTGCAGGGAAGGACATTTTACCTTGGTCCAAGGAGTATAACAGAGGGAAGATCTGAGAAAGTCACTGCAGGACTCACCTGGCCAGCAAGATGCCCTGGTACTCTTCCAGTTGTCTCATGAAGCTGGGGTTGGGCTTGGTCACTGTTCGCCTTTCCTTCACGTAGTCATAGGCTCGGTCCAGATTCCAGCCATATTCCTTCATTGCGTAGGCAATCACAGTGGAGGCTGAGCGACTCACCCCCATTTTGCAGTGCACAAGGCATTTAGATCCATGTTTCCTAGGTTGGGGGATTGAGGTACACAGAAAAACACTATAGTGAGTACATTTTAAAAGCTAGGTTCTAAATGTTTCCAAGTCTCCTGTCGCCCTTCCATTTTCTTTCAATCCATCCTACCTTAGTGTACTTGTATACATGTATAGTCAAATATGCAGGGAGGGTAGGCAATTCTAGTGTACTCAAACAATATTCAATGTTAATATTAATTCTTTTTAATTTATTCAAGCAAACATTTACCAGGCAACCATCATATGTAAGACAATGTATAAGGTCCTGGGATGCAAAGTTAAGTAAATCTTCTAAAGGGTAGGGGGTTCAGTGGGAGAAACAGATAATTAAAATGGTAACTGCAATGACAGTTGATCACAGATTGTGAGGGGAAGAATTTTCAATTTAGAGGCTGGACTCCACTTTATGTGTTTGGAGGCCAGTCCCCGCACCGTCTCAGGGACATGTTTCAAGGCTGGCACCTCTTGAGTTAAGAGTGTGACAGTGATTCATCTAATTCATCCAAATGTTCGGAGTTGCTTCTAGTTCAAGTTCCAGTAAAGGTTCTGCCCCTGGAGGAAAGCACAAAACAAACGAAACTAACCCTCCTCTTTACTCAGATGTAGCCCTAGATATTATTTTTCACCACACTACCACCCTGTTCGGCCTAGGGGCTGGCTAGACAATCTGTGAGGTTAGATGGGACCATGTGATGCCCTATGTGACTTTCTTAGTGAGGAGGGTGGAATGATTAACTACCTGTTGTTTTAATGGAGTGGAAGAAAGAGAAAACAAAGTTACCATAAAGTGACACTAAGAAACAAACAAAACCCTTTAGTCTTAACATGCCAGAGCTCATTACGCTGGATATGAACATTACTCAGTTATGCTACTTCTCTAATAACACAATGTGTGACACAGAGTAAGTCTTCAAATATTTACCAAATATATGAACAAACTTAGGGGTAGTCTGCTGTTAGAGCTGTCAGCTGTTAAGTAAAAATATTTTAAAATATGGAAAAAAGAATGGTTACTCTTTTTACCAGTATACATGGGCTAAAAAAATCCTTCCCAAGTGGCTATTCCAATAAGTTAAAAAAAAAAAAAAAAAAAAAAAAAAAAGAGTACATCGCCTAATAGGGAAACCTATTCATTCACTCATTCACTATATCACAGTAGACAAGCTTCCTTCCAGAAGCTTGTAATTCTTCTGTTGGAGATAGATACACATTGAAGAGTTAAGTACAATGCAAGGAGACATGAGGTTCTGTGCCAAAATGAGTGAACCAGATAAGTGATAGGAAGAAAGAGAATGGTTGGTAATAATGGTCTGGAATAACTGAAATAGTCTAAAAAGGAAGGTAAGATTAACCTGCTACCCATCATTTAGAGGCAAAATTTTGGAGTCCATACGTTGGTGCAGGTGTTTGTCTGTGTGTGCTTAGATGATCCCAACTGACTAGGATATTGTTTTGTTTATGACACCACAGGGTTTTCATTTAAACTACAGTGCACAGTGACTCAGACTGAAGTTCAGACATGTGCTCTATATTTTTCCATCAAGCTCTGACATCAAATTTCAGGTCTATACCTGCAGGCTTTGAAGGTACTCAAAGTTGGACAGTTTTAAGAAAAATACAATTATAAAACCCACCCACATAAAATCATTTCTTCATTTTGAACTGGGCTTTTTCAGTGGATGGCTTGTAACTCACATACTGAAAGATTTGAAGTCAGTTCTCACCTAATCCAACTTCATCTTTCAGTTCTGGCCACACACTTCCCCTATCTCTCCCATCCCTCCCTGAGCCAGTTGTCTAGATTAAGTCTGGTATCACTTTAGGAATCCTAAACTCACCCATATGTAGGTTGTGTCTGGAATTCAGGGCCCTGATTTGGATGAAATACATGAGGTGTCCAGGGGGCCATTTAAGGAGGCACTCACTCACAGACGCTGACCCACACTTGCATGGGCCTGAGCAGGAGGGCCCGCTTACAGCAACCTGGGTGCCTCACATATCTCACCTCAATCCCAGCCCTGCTGAAATTGGCTTTTCTTTTCACGGGGACTGGGGCCTCATCTGAACTCTAGCCTCTTTGGCAGTGATCCTGACAACTGGCCTGGTCTTTTCCAGTCTCCTTTGCTCAAGGACCTAGACTATATACTAGATGGACTCTGAAATAAGACATGATCTCAGGTTCAAGTCCTATCTTCACCACTTGTTACTTAACCTCTCTGAACCTCATCTCTACAGTCTGTCCCCATCTCTACAAAAGGATGACAGCACATGCCTCTCTAGGTTTTGGAAAATATTACATAAGAGAATATGGGTAAAGTATCTGGCATGCAGTAAGCATGCCATGAGTGGTATTATTGAGAACAATTTCATAGGCTTCAAAAATATAAAACACTCAGGTGTTAGCTAAGGACTGAGAGTATGGGCTCAAAGCTAGTGTAGGAGGATTCAGGGTAACTAAGAGGAAGGACTTCTTGACTATGGAGGGTCTGCAGAGAGATGTGGAATCAGTGCTGAAGGAGGACTTTAAAAACAGAAGTGCTTCTCATCTGCCATGGATGATTTGGATGTGGTCCCATTGAAGAGGGCAGCTCGGCCAGCATGCTCATTTACAGTTCCTTCTACTGAAGGAATATGTAGGATTGGCAAGGAAATCCCCAGGGACTTAAAAAAAAAAAATTAGTGCTGACATAGTACTAATTAATATTAAACACTAAATTAATACTATTAAATAGTTTCACTAAAAGGACCAATTTAAAGATGACATCAACAGAAGGGCCAGAGAAAAATTTCACTATTTAGAGTACCATAAAAGTAAAGTAAAAGAATGAGAAGGCTTCCAAACCCCACTACGTGTCTCCTCGTCTTCAGGAAGAAGAGCTTTCTGTGCTCCGCCCATGTGGGGCAATTTCTATTACACAACTTTCAAATGTCCACCTTGACAACTTAATCATTTCATTCAGAATTTCTTCCTTCTCTTATTCTTATTTCTTTTGCAGCAGCTTAGGTTTATTTTCCCTAATTTTGTGCTCAATGGAAACAGTCAACATGAGGTGATCTTCTTCCAGGGGCTTCATCTACTTACAGGAAAAGGATGAAGTCTCTAGTCAACTCTTCCCTAGGATTAAGGAATCTCAGTGTCCTTTTTCTCTTTACTTCCTTCTCCCTGAGTATAGTCAAGCAGGTTATCTATAGCTTTAGGCCTTACCCATGGATGGTGCACAAGGAACACAGGTCAGAATATGTGTGTGGGACCATTACTCACTTTGCTTTAGAGATGAATTTGTAAGTGTCATTCCAGTAAGCCAGGAGATCCGTTGCCTCTTCGTCATATACGCGGATGTTATGATACTCAAAGACTCCTGGGAAGAAGTTATCTATCTCTCGAGTGACATTCAAGATATAGCGCACCCTGTGAGGAAACCAAGGGAGAATATGGGCTCTACTACTAGGTTCCTCTTGAGTTGTTAAAATTACCAGAAACATAGTTTATTCTTTGGAAGTCATTTGTATTAAATCAGGACTATTAACATCTACCTCAAGGAAAAAAAAAAAAAACAGGAAAGGGAAAAATCTCCTTTACCTTTCTAAATGTCACATTTTGCTCTATTACTCTCTCTAAACTACAAGAAAGGCAAAAGAGGTGAGGGATGGGAGGGTCAGAGGAAAGTTGGACCTGAAACTCTCTTAACTCTCTAAGCTGCATTCCTGGCTACCACAGCAGGCGATGTGTCTGAGTTCTCCCATACCGAGAGGCTTGCAGAAAAGGGTTTCTGTATCACAAATTTCTTCTGCTCTCTCTCTCTCACTGCACAACTTCAAGAAATGCTTGGGTCTAGTTTGCCACAAGGTTATCTTTTCTCAGTGCTGTGTGGACTTAAACATCACTGGAGTTTACTCCAGCAACACAACACAGACTTACTTATTTCTCTCTGTAGAAGCTGCTTCCTTCTTAGAACTACACATGGGTTCTTACAAACCCAATCTCTGAAGTCAGAGAAATGACTACAGAGAGAGAGAGAGAGTCATAGTTAACCAATTCTGTGGTTAAGTTCCAGAGATCAAAATTTTTCTGAAACATTTGAATCTCGGCATCAAAGTCCATTACTACAAAGAATTTTTTTCCTTTTTTTTTTTTTTTTAATTTTTTTTTTCAACGTTTTTAATTTATTTTTGGGACAGAGAGAGACAGAGCATGAACGGGGGAGGGGCAGAGAGAGAGGGAGACACAGAATCGGAAACAGGCTCCAGGCTCCGAGCCATCAGCCCAGAGCCTGACACGGGGCTCGAACTCACGGACCGCGAGATCGTGACCTGGCTGAAGTCGGACGCTTAACCGACTGCGCCACCCAGGCGCCCCATTTTCCTTTTTAATTTAAAAAGCAAGCATATGCAATTGTGGAAAACAGTATGTAGAGTTACTCTACAGCATATTCCTCTCTGAGGTATAAATCCAAAAGAAATGAAAACATAAGTATACCCCAAAATTTGTGTGTGAATGGTCACAGCATTCATACATTAATAGCTAAAAAGTGGCAACAACTCAAATGTCCATCAACTGACAAATGTGGTATTTCCAAACAATGGAACATTACTTGGCAATAAAAAAGGGAATGAAGTTACTAATACATGTTTCAACATTGATAGATCTTGAAAATATAATGTTAAGTGGAAGATACTATTCTTAAAAAACCACGTATTATATGATTCCATTTAAATGGAATGTCCAGAATAGGTAAACGTATAGAGACAGAAAGTAGACTGATTAGTAGTTTCTAGAAGCTGGGGGAAAAAGGGTACAGGATTTCTTTTTCGGGTTGAAAAACTGTAAATTAATACCATGGTAATAAATACCATTTAAGTGTACATTTTAAAGTATATTTATTTGCGAGAGGGATGACAGAAGGCAGGGGAGGGAGGGAAGGAGGGAGGGGGGGAGGGAGGGAAAGAGGGAGGGAGGGAGGGAGAGAGAGTGTGAGAGAGAGCATGTGCAAGCTGGGGAGGGGTAGAGAGAATCCCAGGCAAGCTTCTCAGTGTCAGCCTGGAGCCTGATGTGGGGCTCGAACCCATGAACCATGAGATCATAACCTCAGTTGAAATCAAGAGTTGGACACCTAACCAACTGAGCCACCCAGGTGCCCCAAAGTATACATTTTAAATGAGTGAACTATATGTGAATTTTATCTCAATGGTCAGAAAAAAAAAAGGAAAGCACACTTATCTTATTTAAAATAAAAATGGAACCACCTCCCACCTCTAATCCCATACTTTAGTAATAGATTACGGCAGTACAAGGTTTCCCAATCCTATTCATTACAGAACTCTACACAGCCACTACCAATTGAGAACAGCACCCCCTGAAATTTGTTTGCCACCTCTATATGGAGTAGCACTTTACTTGGGGTTCTGAAGTCAGTAAGATTGGGTGAAAATGGTCTTATGTCAAAATTAAACTTGAATATCCCTTAAATCATCCACAAGGGGCAGTATACATGTTTTGTAACTGTAATTCTTAATCCACAAGAGTTTAAGAACAAGTGAATTTATGAAACAACATCTAAGTAGATGTCTGAGCATCTAACTATACTGTTTTTTAAGATAGATACATCTGTGTTTTATAATTTAGCATTTTAAGCAGTAAATGAGATGAATAGGTATCATCTCCGTTGATCTTGTCAAAGTGTATTCTAAACTCAAAGATGTATGCATGATGTAATTTCAATGCATTTGCCAGGCAACAGCTGCATCAAGTCTCAGATTCCATATTAAATACTGTATCTCTGTGCTAGTTTCTGGCAAGTCAGTCAATTTTTCTATTATTCCTTCACATTTACTGAGCACCCTCTTGGTATAAAGCTCTGAGTAAAGTAGACGTACGTTTTACACAAAACTAAGATACAGTCTCTATTTTCAAGAACTCTAGACTCAATTCTAATCAATTTAAAATTTCTAAGTTCTCTTTATTTTCATATCTTAAATTAAGTAATAACCAGATTCACAGGCCCCCTTCTCTCAACCCAAGAACTCTTTGTATAATTCTTTGGCTTAAGTCTTGTCCCAAATTCACTTTAACAATTAGGATATATCTTTCTTTTGAGGGGGAAGTAGGGAGTATGTATCTAATCATGTTAAAGATAACCAGAAGGCTGACTTACAGCTGAGAAAACAGGCAGCCATCACTACTTCTGGGTTTCAGTGGGTCTGATCACTGTCCACAATCAAGTTACATGTGGCCAATTTTCAGACATGACTTTCTCTTCTTTTACTGGGATAATTTGGCCTCCTAAGGCCAAGTTCAATGAAAAATTTAGGTATTAGCTAAGAAGTAAAAAGGTTAGAAGAATGGCAGCTTTTTGGTTGCTGAATGTTCATGGTCGTCTCAACAGCTACAATCAAACTCAATAACCATGCTGCTCAGGGGCACATTTCTTAATACAAGGTAGAATGTATTCTTGTTCAATTTCAGAAGCTTGTCCACTTTATATTTAAAACCTACTTAGGGGCACTTGGCTGGCTCAGTCTGTGGAACATGCAATGCCTGATCTTGGGGTTGTGGGTTTGACCCCACGTTGGGTATGGAGATTGCTTAAAAGTAAAATCTTAAAAACAAACAAACAAAAAACTACTTAGACCTCAAGCACCTTACTAAAAAAGGATGGGACTGAGTCTTATTTTTCTTTGGATTCCTAGTATCTAGCACTGTACCTAGTCCACAGAAAATGATCAATAAATGTTGATGAATAGCTGTGAACCCAACATATGCAGTTCTGTGTACTCTTACATAAAAAATAGGAACCAAAGGTAAAACTATGAAGACAAGTAAAAAGATCAGTGGTCGCCAGAAGTGGGAGTGGGAATAAATGGTCAGAACAGAGGATTTTTAGGGCATTGAAAATACTCTGTATGATACCATAATGATGGATGCACGATATTATACATCTGTCCAAAGCCACAGAATGTACACCACCACCAGTGAACTGTAAAGTAAATATGGCCTTTGGGTGATTATAATGTATCAATGTAAGTTCATCAATTGTTAACACATGCAACCCCTTTGGTGGGGATGGTGTTAATGGGAGAGGCTATGCATGTATGGGGGCAGGGGAATATGGGAAATCTCTGTACCTTTCCCTCAATTTTGCTGTGAACCTTAAATTGTTCTAAAAACAAACAAAAGGGACCAATAACTACATTTGGTTTTAAAACAGTGCAAAAGACATGCACATCTGTTTTGGAAAGCCTTTCCATTGAAACAGAAGATCTTTCTTAGGAGGTGTTGGACGAAACAGTGGGATAACAGCCACTTAAATTTTTATTAGATTCCACCTGATTAAAATCAACTGGAAGCAACTCTTAAGCTTAAAGTTACTCATTGACACCATATTTAACAGGAAAAAGTAAAGAACAAACAGCGATTTCAGTCATGGGGTTGAAAGCAATTGCTGTGTGTGCTTACCCTCGGTTTTGTAAATCCTCTAAATTTGAGGCATTCCATTCAGAGCCCTGTGGAACCAAAAAAACAAGGTTAGGGAGTATTAGCAAATGAACAAAATACAATATTTGAAAAGGTGTCCTATGAGGGAAGAAGCAGATCCAATAACATCTATCGCATTTCCTCTCTGTAACTCAGGTACTCCGTATGTTATAACAATTAGTTTTCACAAATGAAAGTGTAAAAAAGTTATCTTCATTTTTACAGATAAGAAAACCAACTCCCATAGAATTCAAATAATTTTTGCTCCAGATCATACTCTGGAAAGCTGTCTTTGATCATACTCCAATTAAGTTAAATGTCGTCTGTTTTTCTGGTTTATAGTATTCTGATTTCTTTCAAAGGTATGTATCACAGTTTCTACTTGTATATTTATTAGTTTCTTTACTACCTCTCTCCTCCACTATAATATAAGCTTCCTGAGGACAGCTTGTTGTCTATGGAAACCCCTGAACAGTGAGTGCCTGGCACCTGGTAGGTACTGAATAAACATGTGTTAAATGAACAAAGTGGCATTATTATGAATTAAACCTAGATTTCATTCTAAAGCCCACATTCTTTCTAGTGTATTATATTACATCAAAGGACAGCTAAATAGTAGCTTCTGTTAAATGAGGGAAACATGATAATGCAAAACTTAAAAAAGGGAGGGTTGTACAGATTTGGAGATCAATTTTTCATATTTTACCACATTTGATTTCTCTCTTCCCTTCCCTTTCTTTCAGTATATATCATACTTTTTTCTCCTGAACCATTTGAAAGTAATTTGAGCAATCGTGACACTTCAATACTTGACCATGTATTGCTTATGAACAAGAACATTTTCCTATTCCCATTTTTACAACTAAGAAAGAGAACACTAACACAATGATATTCTAATACATTATATTTGAATTTCAAAAATTGACCTCTCAAACTATCCTTTATATTCATCCAATCAAGAATCATACTTTACAGGGGGTGCCTGGGTGGCTCAGTTGGTTGAGTGTCTGGCTTTGGCTCAGGTCATGATCTCCTGGTTTGAGCACCGTGTCGAGGTCTGTGCTGACAGCTCAGAGCCTGGAGCCTGCTTCAGATTCTGGGTCTCCCGCTCTCTCTGCCCCTCCCCCGCTCATACTTGTCTCTCACAAAAATAAATAAAACATTAAAAAAATTATACTTTGCATTTAGTTGCCATGTCTCTTTCTCATTTAATCTGGACTTGGACAGTCCACCCGGACTTTGTTTTTCATGATGACATTTTTGTAGACTACAGGTCTGTAATCTTGGAGAACTCTTCACAATCTGGATTTGTCTGATTTGTTTCCTGCTGATTAGATTCAGGTCAAACATTCTTGGCAAGAATATTACAAGGATGATGCTATGTATTTCCTATTGCATGAAATCTTGAGGCACACAATGTCAGTTTGTCTCATTATTTGTCATGCTGAGTTTGAATTCTTGCTAGGTTCCTTTGTATCTGCCACACCCCACTATTGTAAAGGTTCCTTTACAATTACTAGTTATCTATAGGTATTAATGATCTTTTTTTTTTAATGTTTATTTTTGAGAGAGAGAGAGAGAGCAAGAGAGTGAGTGAGCATGAGTCGGGGAGGGACAGAGAGAGAGGGAGACACAGAATCCGAAGCAGGCTCCAGGCTCTGAGCTGTCAGCACAGAGCCTGACGTGGGGCTTGAACCCACAAACTGCGAGATCATGACCTAAGCTGAAGTCTGATGCCTCACCAACTGAGACACCCAGGTGCCCCAGTATTAGTGATTTTTGAAGTCATGTGAATATCCTGTTTCACAATAATCTCTTACTCTATAGTTTTGGCATCAGCTGCTGACCTTGCCCAAATTACTTTACTGGAGGTTTACAAAATGGTGGTTTTCTAATTTTATCATTCCTTCTGCATTCCTACCTGCATTCTTCTGTAAAGGAGAGCTTCACCTAATCATTCCTTCCACACTTTGAACTCTTGAATTCTTTTTGCATTTAGAATGTTTTTATCCATTGCCATTTTTTTTGACACTCAAATTGTCCTGAATTGGCCAGTGGGAATCTCTTCAAGTAAGCAAGCTCCTTCTGATATTGACCCCACTAGTCTTTGACCCCACTACTTCCTTGCTTCCTAGTTTAAGAGTTGTTCCAGAATCACTCTGTGAGTGGAATTAGCCATTTCCCCAAGGAGTCCTGGTTTTAGCAAAGAATGGTATTTTGTAATCAAGATCTGGACATTAATTAGATATGTTTAGAAGTATGGATCATTGCTTCTAAACTTTCCAGGGGACAGATCTAGGAAATATTTTTTAAAAAAATATTGAATTTACATTGGTACCTCCAGTTCAAATTTAACACCACAAGGTACTTCCTTTCTTTCTTGCCCCTTTGCCATCATTTATAGCTCCCTATTCCACTGGGATAACCTTGGTTTCCAACAACTCATTTGCTCTATTTACAAAATAGTTTCAACATTATTTTTCCAATACCAATTACACCAATTACAAACCCATTAAGTTCACATTTTCTGGGGTGTCTGGGTGAATTGGCTGAGTAAGCATCTGACTTCAGCTTAGGTCATGACCTCATGGTTCGTGAGTTCAAGTCCCGCATTGGGCTCTGCAATGACGGTGTGGAACCTGCTTGTGACTCTTTCTCCCTTTCTCTCTCTGCCCCACATGGACTCGTGCTCTCTCAAAAATTTTTTTCCTTCTTTGCAGTTTTTTTTCCTCTTCCCATGAAGAGGTTAAGTCAGAATATTATACTGAAAGTTACTTGAATTAATTTCTTTCTGTGAAGTTACCTGTTTGATATACATTTGGATTCATTTGCTCCTGTTTGTATTCAATTTTAGGGTGTGATTTTTCCATTCTTTTCCATTTGATTTTGAATATGCAAAACTTTCATAAGACTGCAAGTCAAAAGTTTATTAAAAGGTAAACTTGAACCCTCACTCCTACTCCAATCTCCCCAAGAGAAACCACTGTAACTAGTTTCTGGTTTATTCTACCTATGTTCTAAGCAAATACGCCCTTATTATCACTTGTTCCTTATGTAAAAGTAGTATATGATACATATGTTTGTTCTTTGTTTGCTTCACTTGACAATACAACCACAGCACAGTTCAGAGACCTTCCTTACTCTTTCTTACACCTACATAGCACTTCATTGGATAGTCAGAGAATAGTTGATTCACCTAGTCTCCTGTGAATGATGTTTCATATCTGTGGAAGTGAGACTGTTGAGCCAATGAGCAGTTTTGTTGGGCATTGCTCAATTCCTCTCCACAGAGGCTGAGACAATCTGCATTCCCACAGCAATGTAGGGAGAGTGCCCCTTTTTTTCCCCAGAGCCTTGCCAACAAAACCTGTGGTTAGGCTTCTGATTTCTGCCAATCTGACAGGTGTGAAATGTTACCTCAGTGTAATTTCAATTTGCATTTCTCTTAAAAGTGAGCAACTTTTCAATGTTTCAGGCTCATTTTCTATCTTTGGACTATGTTCATCTCTTTTGAAAAGGCAAACATTTAAAATAATTTACCTATTTTCGAATTATGTATTAAATGGAATTAAGCATTAGAAGACTCAGGTTCAAATCTCAACTCCCCATTCAACTGTGGGGCACTGAGCAAACTGCTTAACCTGTCTTCACTTTCCTTATCCATAAAATGGAACATTCCTCCCACCCTAGTCCTATATACCTAATGGGTACATTCTCAAATTATAAAGTTTTTCCTAATTCCTTCTGCCATGTGAGAACACACAGAGAAGTCAATGACCCAGAAGATGGCTGTCGCCTGACCATGCAGGTGCCCTGATCTCAGACTTTAGCTTACAGAACTTTGAGAAGTTTCTATTGTTTATAAGTCCCTGTTCCCCCCCCATCCTTGTCAAAACAAAACAAACCTAAAACGTTTCGCCCATATTAAAATGGAAAAACTCTCTTTCCATCATGAATTCTTTTCTAGACACTGTCCTTTTTTCCCTTCCCTTGCCAAGATTCATAGAAATCTAATCCCTTGCCAACATTCATAGAAATATAATCTAATACCTTCTTTGATTACTCATTTCCCATAAGTCTCAACCCACAGCACTGTGGCTTTTGCCCTCACTACTGTTGCTAATGTTACTAATGACCTCTTCTAATTGTCTAACCCAGGGGTCACTTTTGTGTCTTTATCTCATTGGCCTTCCATGAATATCTATCTGATAGGATTCATTACTCCCTCCTTGTAGAATTTTAAAAAAAAATTTTTTTTAACGTTTATTTATTTTTGAGACCGAGAGAGAGACAGAGCATAAACGGGGGAGGGGCAGAGAGAGAGGGAGACACAGAATCGGAAGCAGGCTCCAGGCTCTGGGCCATCAGCCCAGAGCCTGACGCGGGGCTCGAACTCACAGACCGTGAGATCGTGACCTGAGCTGAAGTCGGACGCTTAACCGACTGAGCCACTCAGGCGCCCCTCTCCTTGTAGAATTAGATCAGACTGCACAAATATCTAGCCTCTTGTCTGGTACAAAAGAGAGGGTCAACAAATATTTGTTGAATGAATGATCAAATAAGACAAATAAATGAAACACTCTGAAACTGTAAAGTGTTATGCAAGCACTATCATTGTATTACAAGTGATATGTAATTTAATTTGGCTGTTGAACTGGGAGACAGATCAAGGAGGCTGTGAAGGTGCATTTAGGTAAATGGACTAACGGACAACTGATATTTTCTACAGACGAGGGCTCAGCTGACTTGCTTTAAAAAAATATGGGAGATTCTGAAGGCTCTGTGCTCAACCTTAGGAAATAAGCTCCTACACCAAAGAAAGAGGATAAGAACTATAAAGGATTCAAGGAGACAGAAGCAAGCCATAAGGGTTGAGTGGCTAAACGGTAGCCAGGGAAATGTGACCACTTCACTTCTTAATTTAGAAATCTAAATCCTCTGTGGAACTCTGTCCAGCTAGATGGAAATAACCCTTACGTGATGGGAAAAGTCCATGGTTTTCATCTACCTGTCCAGAGAAAATTCAATC